GATGGGGGGTTTTGTTTCCAATCTTTTTTTTTGTTCTTTTAGGTTGTTTGACTCCAAATGAACCTGAACTTATAGATAATTTAGGTTGCAATAGGAAGTTTTAATAAGGAGGGATTTTTCATAATGTATTTGTATTTTGTTTATTTTTTATTTTTTATTTAATTTAATAAAGTGAAATTAGATTTATGTAAATACAATTATAGTAAACTGTAATACAAATAGTAAATTCAGTGACCAAATCGTATAAATTTCGTGATAAAATCAGTGATCAAATAATGTAAATTCCATATAAATCCCGTGCAAATTCCGTATCCAAACCATATTTTTGGTGATACGGAATTGTGCATTTTTCCGTATCCTATTATGATACGTTATTTCTAAGGAAAAAAAATCGTATAAAAACTTTATAAAAAACGTATCCAATTTTTTTATAGGGATACTCCTAAAAAGCCATTATTAAGAAATTTGTGACATAGAATTGAGTATTCTCCATTGATAACAAAAGGTGATTCCACTTTCTACTATTTATGTTGTATTTTTAGATTACAAGCATTACATATAATACTATAAATTATCTTTCTTGATTTTTTTAGATTATGCAAAATATAATGAATTATATTCTTATTAGCAAATTTTTTTTCTTATATCTTTTTATAAGAGAAATGAGATTATAGATATCAATATTTACAAACTGTACAGCAACTTATATTACTAAATAAATTATCGGGCATTTAATTTATAAGAAACTCTAAGCATATTTAAGAAATTAAAAGTAATCTACTATTGAAGACTTTTTAAATAATTTAGACGCATTATATTGACTGAATATAAGTGATCAAATTAGTTCTTTCACTTATTTATCCAGTCATTCTTTTAACTTAATTTTATGTCAATATTATTTGTTGTATGTAAACAATACAGGATTATTTGAGGTAAGAATTGTTTTAATTTTTATTTAATAAAATATTCCTAGATACTAAAAAAAGTCAAAAGGATTTTTTTAAAAAAAATTAATTTATCAGAAACTCATTCTTTTTTCTATTTTCTATAAATTATATCTCTTTTACAATATTTTTAACTTTTATTTTATAAGGTCCACATTAATGATTGTTTCTTAAATACACAAAAAAAAAGTTTTTCTCATTAAAAAAAAGAAATTGATATCTTACAAAAAAAGAATAATTATATATCTACATACCAAATTGGATGGATTACCTAAATTTCTTTATATTTTTGAATAAATTTATTAATTTATTAATTTCATTATTTCCACTAAACCAATTTTTAAAATTTTTTTTGAAAATATTTAATATTTATACATGCCTGAAACCAATTAGTTTATACAAAAATCATAATTTTTATAATGTTTTTTTTTAATTTTTATTTTAATATTAGTATATATAAATAAATCAACAAAATTTATCTCCAGCAGTAGTTAAAATCTATGGTTTCTCAAGCGACTTTAAATTCTTTCATATTAGCAGATAGATTAAAACATTTTATTGAATGATTAATTATCAATTTTTTACTTAAAATAACTTCTAAACTTTTTTGAACACAAAAATCAAATATGCTCATATATCAGTTTCATAAAAAATAAAAAATAAAGCTTTATTGATCATTTAATACTAAAACAACTAATAAATCATCTTTGATTAAATTTTCATATATAAGAACATTTCACCACTCCTTCATTAATATATTTTTTAACTATAATTTTATGATAATTTGTAATATAGTAATTATCTCTATCATTAATACCAAAACAATACAAAGGCTGTTCTCTGAAACTTTCAAAAAATTGGGTAAAAGTATCAATTGAATACTTCCAAAATCCACTTATAAAATAGAATTTAAAGATTTTGGAGAAAATGAAATAATAATTCATCTCCTATATTATTATCATTTTCATTTATAAAAAATTCTAAACTATTTAAACTTATTGCATTTAAAGACCTACAATTTAATAATAATGATTTTATATGAATAAAATCTTTAGGTTCAATATATGTACGTAAATCATTAATCTTTGGGCAATTATCAGAAATTGCTTTAATTAAAATTCCTGCTTCTTTAGCAGTTTTATTGGTAGTTATAATGATTCTTGTAATATTTCCTATAGTTTTTTCAATTAATAAAGATATCTCTTTAAAGCTAAGTAAATGACCATCTATTAATGTTAGTTCTTGAAGGTTTGGAAATTCATAAATTGCAAGGTATTGTTGAATTTTTTCATAATTTTCCCAATGAAAAATTGTTAACTTTTTTAGATTTACAAGTGTTGTTAAAGATGAAAGTACAATATTATAAATTGAGTTTAGATGAAGATCATTTATAATAGTTCTATTTCTTGCTAATGCTTTGCTTAGTTCTTTGCCAGTCTTTTCATCAATCTCTGTATAAATATTTAGTTTTTTTAAATTCCTCTGGGCATCAATCAAGTAAAATATATCAGGAATACTACAAAAACTATTGATAGATAAAGTATTTAAATCTTTACAAATTTGTGCTAACTCATAAAGAGCATCAGAATTCACAGAATCAATATCAATATATAACTCATAGAGTTGAGAGAAGAAAATTGATGCTCTTGGAAATAAAGTTAAAGGCTGATGAGTTGTCCAACATAAATATTCAATATTTTTACATTGACTAATAAATAACTTGTAAATTTCTTGCTCCATAAGATTTCTTCTATGATCATTACAAAAGTTCTTTAACACTATATCAATGATTTTGTTCATTTTATCAGAGGATAGATGTCTGCAAAAACTGATATAATTAAATAATGGAAATTTTAAGAGTGTTGAAGGAGGTAATTTAATATCATTATCTGATAAAAGTTTTTTTGAAGAGGATGGTAAGAAAGAAAGTATAACATTGCAAAGTTTTTCATTTATTGAATATAGTGAATATTTCCTCCATAAGATAGGAACCACAATGTTACACCACTTTTTATTGACTAAAAGACAAGAATGTAAAGACTTCTTATCATATTCAAGTATATTAATTATAAGAAAAGACAATCAAGATTGATTTCTTCCATTATTAGAGTTTTTAATGTTTTGAAAGAGATTCCCACATAAATTGAAAGTTATCATAATTAAACATATTTTCTTTACAATTATATTAGTCAATATGATTAATTACTAACATTTACTTGTTAAAAAGGTATGATTCCATAATGATGATGTAATTATGTGTCTTTTTGACAATAACTCTACATATAATGTCTAAGAGTAGTAATTAATAAGATCTACAAGTTTTTCAAGGTGGCATTGTTGGCAGATCAATAGTAAAAGATATTATTCCTCAGTATCATATAAACAAAAATATGTATTTTTTTTTATTTATAATCAATAAAGCTAAATCACATTAAGCACAATATAATCATGTCAATATTTAGTATGTGCTGAGAAGAGTATGGGATTGTTAATATTTCTTGATCAGTTTTTCATCCAGAGATCCAACTCAAAAAATTTCGATAAATGTGCAGACAGTGCATATATTACGGAACTAATCACTGTACTATATAATTTATTCTTGAAGTTTTGCATATACTCAAGCTTTTGCATGTATTAATAATTGAAAAGGTCCCTTGTTGATCCGGAAACACGATCCCAGTGTCTATTATAATTTTAAGGAGTATCTGTTGATCTGATTTTTGTGATAAATCATAATGACGTAATTTCCTCCAAAGATTTATTCTAAAAATCGATCCTTAAATCCACCACAAATCATATAAAAAGGTGAGGCCTTATTTTAGTGAATCCTTCGTAAGTAAAGCAAAAAAAAAATAAAAAGAAATATTCAAACTTACCACTATTAACATTAACAATATCAACATGAGTATATTCTGCAAAGTAATAACGAAGTTAGCTTGTTTGATTTCTTGGCTTGATTCTAGAAAATCGTCATCACGATGCTAATCATTTTTTTCCGGCTCTATGTACTAGATGCTCTCAAAGACAAAGGGGACATATATTACCTTTCTTGATTCTTTCTGTATATTTGACATTTGCTGAGAAAATTGTAACCCCATCACGTGACTAATCAGTGTAGTGTCACCAGATTTTCGTCACATGCCGAGATACAGTATGCAGTATATCTTCTGGCAATAAAATTATAAGCATCTTCGTGTGCCTAACAATAAAAAAATCAAAATATTATGAGGCAGCATTGAATATTAAAATGAATTATTGTTATAACAGTAAGTGTGAATCAGAAACATTCAACTTGTTTAATTTCTTTTTATCTCATTGCTAATCTCCAGAATTCTTCCTATAGATTCGAAATCATTTCATCTCAGTGAAGTTCTCTTGTGGGATATAATCTGTTATATAGTCTGTGTGAGTGGGAGTGATATAGATAGACGAAAATTCTATAGATATAAGCGGTGTAATTTATTTCGGAATCCCAGTGTAGAGAAAGATTATGGGGTGAGAATTTTGTAGTTAGTAATAGATGTAGAAATAAATTATCTGTAGAATTATTCTGAGAGCAACTTGATTCTGTTACTCGCATTAAATGGCCTAGGATCCACGTACTCCCTTCCTCTTTGATAGCATCTTACATTTCATTCTCTACTTTCATTTTTTTTAATGAAAAATTAATTAATAATCATATTTATCACATCTTGGGATTTATCTTTTTAATTTGTGTATGTATAGCATTATATTTATTTTTGTATTGTAATAATTATAATAAAATTTATCATCATATTGATTGTAATACATAAGATATTTTTTCACTTTATATCAAATATTACTTATTAATCATTGGAATTATATTATCTTTTTATTGGTGGTATAACGTCATCACCAGGGGATGGATACAAATCGGACGCTTATTTGTATATTTTAAGCACCTGATCATGAAAGAAGTTATGCGTGCCCATAAGCTAAACCTTTCCATTTACAAGTAAAGAATTTGTAAACAGGTTCCAATCACAAAAGATACAGTATCTTAGAATGGAAAGCTCCTTTGGATTAGGAAGAACATCTATGATGATACATTCAAGTAATAGTCTTTAAAGAACCAAATATTAAAATAATTGAACCCCACGCGCAGTACATTTGTATATTTGAAGAATCAAGATTCATCGCCAAAATAACTTTAGCATGTCGTTGTTTTGATTTTTGAATTAAAATCACTTCAGTACTAAAAACTTTACCATTAGTAAACAATTAACTATAATACCTATTCATCAAATTTCCAATAACCATAATTTTCTCATTCTCAGAATTGATATGATCCCATTGTTCGTGTGAAAAACATACAAATGTAATATTAGGTTTGGGAAAAGTGATATCCTTTATATAAAGGAAATAATTAAATCAATAAATTAGTAAGAATAAACTAAACAACCATATTTAATACCCAGGTCCCTGGTGTATTTACGATTTTAATGTCAAATCATTAAAAGTAAATGAATATTATAACGTACATCTAACGCGCCATTTTATTTTTTTCATTTCAACGGAATTCTTTTGCCAATTTCCTGTAAGTTCTTTATTGAAAAGAACGGCAGGTTGCATTTTCATCGGATAAACACGTTTTTTAAATAAAATAATCTTGTATTGATTGTGAATTTGAAAGAAAGAATAAAAAGTTACAATTGACTTTAAAATAACATTCGCGAGAGTTTATATCATAAATAGGCTTTGAACATCCAAGTACACGTGTGTATATAAAGTTACTTTAATTTATGTCACGGAATTTATTAGAGTTACACCAAATAGATAATTGAGAAATCTGCGAGATTTTTTATTGCTAATGCAGTACTAGTTAATGAAATTTTAATCTTTTTTACTAATCTAGCGAAAAGCTTAATTAATCCTATTTTTTTTTAATATAATATTAAATAATACTTATTTAGAACTATATGAAATATGTTTGAATTTTAAGTAAAAAATCTACATATACATAATTTACAAATTTACATAAAATCCATGTTGGGTCTTTATAATTATATAAAATAGTGTATGTAAATATGTAAATTTTATATAGAACTTTTCATATAAAAACATCTTTCACTGCACAGGTTAAAAAATATTTATTATAAATTCGAATGTCATCCAAAATAAATCACGTTTCATATATTTTACACTTTATGGCAATTATATAATAATTAATAGAAAATTATATTCTTTTTGGTTAGATCATCGATTCCGAGAAGGTCGGATCAGTTATATTTTTTTTTATAGATGAACCCTTTTTTTTGCGTAATTTTTTTATATAAGCATTCTTTCCCGTTATAACTTTTTTTTTTGAATTATTTTTTTATTTAATTTTTTTGTTATAACACTTTTGGACTTTTTTCGATTATAACGTTTTTTGATAACCGTTATTATTTTTTTTAAAAAAATAGTTTTTTTTTATTTTTTTTTTTTAATATAATAAAAAAATTCTGTAACGTTTAGATTAGCCTGTATAAATTAATTTGAATTGCTGATCCGTATTCTTTATAGTTAAGACCCGCGGAAATTTTTTTTTTTTTCAAAATAATTATTTTTTTCTAACGAACCGACTTGAATTTTTTCGGTTCTCCTTTTTTT